GCATTTGCTCAGGTTCTTTATCCACTGAGAAATCTTCATTTTTCTATTCTCTAAGCATTTTTGAGACTGACTCAGTTCTTAAATTTTCTTTTATTTTGTATTTTTTTGAGACAAGGTCTCACTCTGTCACCAGGCTGGAGTGCAGGGGCACCATCTCAGTTCACTGCAACCTCCACCTCTTAGGCTTAATCCTCCCACCTCAACCTCCTGGGTGACTGAGGCTACAGGTGCACGCCACCAGGCCTGGCTAATTTTTTGTAGAGTTGGGGTTTTGCTGTGGTGCCAATGCTGGTCTCAAACTCCTGGGCTCAAGTGATCTGTCCTCCTCAGTCTCAAAGTGCTGGGACTACAGGTGTGAGCCACCATCCCTACTCAGTTCTTAATTTTTCTAAGTCCCATCATTATAACTCTTCTCTGAGAACTCAACCATGCTGACAATTTAACTCATTCCAGTGGCTCCTAATTACCATTTCCTTATGTCTAACTGCATGTGATGTACCACCACTTAGACACAGGCTTGAAATAAATGATAGTTACCAATAAAACTGAATTCAACTCTTTCTATAATGTGTACTTCCTTTCTATTTTCCTATTTCCTTGGCTGGACTGCCACTTCTGCTCAGTGTTAGTGTATTATATATACAATCAGATTAGCGGATACAGGATTAAATAGGCTCAACTACTTTACAATTCATGTGAAGAGTTTTGACAAGTTACTTTTGTAAGCTTCAGTTTCTTTGCCTACTGTTTGAAGGCTGAATAAAATAACAAAATTGCCCAGCACAGTCACAAATGATACTCAATACCTGAGTATTCCTTCTCTATTTTTATAGCCCATTACCAAAACCCGCTTATCTTTCCTTCATAGTAAACCCTTAAATTTGCCTCCTCTTTTCATTTTCAACCATTCCAATCAAATGATCCAGTTCCTGAATTCCTTAAAAGACTTAATAATCTTTTCTTTAGTATCTTGTTTTTTTCATAATTTACACAAATTTATTTACTTACTAAGCATATTTGCCTACTTTTCTTACATATTGATGGTATGGAGTCCCCAGCTCTAAAATTCCATGGACGACTTCCCACTGACGGTCATACAAATTGTTTAGTGCATTCAACACACTCCATGGATTAATCCTGCCTCATTTACAATTACCACACTTCATAAGGCTAAACTGTGTGACTATGGTCAAGTTACTTACTCTGTGTTCTTTTCTTTGTCAAACACTATCTCTTAGAGTTAATTTTAAACAAGAATAGACTTAGAACAGTGCCTGGACACAGTATTTTCTGAGTGTGAGGAAGAGTTATACAGAGCTAATGAAGCTTAACCTTCAGCATTTCTCAATAGAACAGAACTCTTTCAAAGTTAGAGGAGGGGCTCCAGCATTATGTATCCATAACTTAATATCATGTTCTTATAAGGGACTGAACAAATTATAACAGCTTCAGTACTCTTTAATCGGTAAGTGTTAGCTGTCATGAAACCTGGAAGGCAGGTTTTTGTCTTTTGTCTGCTCTCATAATGTTCCCTCACTCTTCCCCATTTAACAAATACAGACAAGGCAATATGCTAGACACTGCAGGAGAATCAAATATTACTGTGGCCAACAGGACAGCAAACCACAAATTCAAGAGAAAAAAATATATTTAGAATAAGAGTCAGAAGCAAGCCACAAACAAAATGCTATGGGAATTCTAGTGAAGAAGATCTTGAATGATGGCAAAATAATAAAAGCCTTTATGGAAAAGACAGTATTTGACTTAGACTCTTAAAGATGGATAGAATTTCAAAAAAGGTGTGTAGAAAAACAGAAGAAGGTAAACACTGAGGGACGGAGGAAATTCAGAAATTGAATGAGACTTATTTTATCCAGACTTAGTTGCTTTTAAGTCCAACTAAGGCATGAATCTTTTCCACACCATGATCCACCATGATATTTGTTATAACCAGATAGAACTATTGTATATCCATTATTTTTGGAATCTATACTCAAGTGATTTCTAAGAAATATGCCTCATTGGTATTTTCATGTATTTCAGACTACCAGATGGAAAATATGCTTTGAACTGTATATTTTTAATATAAATTTACCTCAGCCCATTCTAAATCCACCCCATTTTGAGGGAAAACAAATTGCACTGGGACTTATTTTCATTACTCAATAAAAGAAAAAGAACAAAAGCCGAGTTCTGACCCTTGTTTAAATTACCGGGTGAATACAAAGAATTCAAAATATATAGTTTACATTTAAAAACATGTACCATACTCGGTATAAGTATACATATTCAATTTAGAATACCTTTGATTAAAAAGCTTCCAGAAAACACTATATGTAACCATAAATTGGTAAATCTCAGGAAAAATTTCCTTCAAAGCTATTACCAAGAATAATATCAAAAGCTTTATTCCTATTGATTCTACATAAGCATCAACAGTCAAAATTTAAGTTACTCGCCTTCTATAGAGGTGTCAAATACATTTTTACACATTTAAATATCGAGATTGGTCTTCCGTTTTTTGATCTATAGTATACCTACTCCACATACAGTAAATACTTAGAACACTGGTGACTTTTCCCTCAGTCACTCCACTCCCCCAACCCCTAAAAAAGTAATTATCAGTAGGTTAAAAGTACAATTTGTTTTGTAAAATACTTAACACACCACAGTACTAGTATGGCAGTCGGCTTCCCATCTTATGAGAAGTGATGAAACTATCAAAGGCACTGAGAAGCAAGTAACCCATTTCACAACTACTACCAACTGAAAGTGTATACCTATTACAGAATGTGTTCAATAGAGATTCCTAAATTATAGGATACATTTAATCTAAAGAAATCCTGAGGAGCTTCACTTTACTGAAAACCTTGCACTGAAATTTCAAGAATGATCACAGCATCAATATATAACATAATTTTTCTGCTATACAAATAAAAGTCAACACTTGTAATCCTTAGTTCTGACTACTCACGCCTTTCCTGGTCCCCTTTCTAAAGACATTATAAAAGCCTAATATGAAACAATTCCACAAATAATGTCCAAGTGATTTGCCAAAGTACGAATACTGGAAACAGGGTGATTTCTTAACAGCCAGTCTGCACATGACATAGTATCTTATGACCAGCTTGTTGTGGGACTGGCCCAGCTCTCCCTTTCCAAGTTAACTGCTAGCTCCAGCCATTTCTAAAAAAGTTTAACAGGAAGGGAGAGAGAAGTCAAAAAGGCTATGTGAATCTTCTTATTGCAAAAACTTAAAAATAAAAAAACAAAACAAAACCCCCCACACCCATGTATTATCAAGAGGTCACCCATCTGAGGTCCTAGAAATGACTGCTTTGCTAAAATTTTGATACAGGGATTGTAAATAACATATAAAAGGTAAAATATCTTTTCCTTACCCTGGACCCCTTACTGCAAAAATATTTTATTATTAAATAATGCTCTTCTTCCTGGACTAAAGATCATTCTCCATTCTCAGGTGTTCCAAGTTACTATGAATATTTCTTGTGCCTATCAGGTGCTGATTCAGTATCTCTATTCTAAACTGGGGTATAGGGTGAGGGAGAAAGTCCTCCACATTCATCTGTCTCACTACATCTAACCTGGCATAGTTTAGCACCTCAGATTTCAACACCAAGCCGAGTCGTTCCGGCTTCCATCGAAACAGTTGCGTCCGAAGTGCCCCCAAACCTACTCAACTTGGCATCGTCAGACAGACCAACCTCTTTTAAGAGGTCCGACCTGAACCACTCCCAGTCGTTCGGACACCACTGAAGCCCAACCCGGATTCCTTAGACCCGAGACAGCTGCTGCCCTGGGTCCCAAGTCATCTCGCCTCCCAAACCGGATCCCAGGTTGACACACGCTTTCCCTGGTCCTCGGCTGCCCCCGACAGTACCCCGATATCCCCACCTCATCCCCAGTCGCTGCGGCAGTACTCAGCCCCGCACCCGGCACGTTCCGCGCCTCCTGCCAGCCCCACCCCACGGCCTCAGCGGATTGCCTTGCGGCAGGTGAGTCTGGCCAGGATCTCTTGGCACCGCGGGTTGCTCACCTTACTGAGGACCCCGCAGCGCTCCACAGGCGGCCCAGACTCCGTCTCTGGATCCTCCTCCGAGCCCGACGAGTTCCAGCTCTGATTATCCGACATGGAGGCGCGACAGCCGAGCAGGAGACCGGCCCCCACTCCCTCAGCTGCGCCGGAGGAGGCGCCCAGTCCTCGGGGTGAAGGGTCGGGGATGGCGAAGCGAAGAGTGCCCGTTCCGGTGTAGGGGTGAGCAGGAGGAGGAACGGAGTCCGCCCGCCGCGCCTGACACCGAGCGGAGCGGGGAAGGAGGACAAGCGGTGAAGGAAGTCTACCCTTCCAGCCGTCAGCTGCCGTCGCCGTGACCCCTGCGTTGCGCCCGGCGCCGCCACCTGAACTTAGCCCCCTCGATGCCAATTTCAAATAGGGAAGGAAAAGGGAGAAGAAGGGAAGAGAAAAATCCGGCCGCCGAGACCCGCGTCCACTCACACCTCCGCTACAGCCGCCATCTTCCTGCCTGGCCCACTATTTACCCTCCCCTCCCCTGTCCTTTCCCCTCCTCTTCGTCCTCCCATTCTCCCTCCTACTCCCCGCCCCGTTCCCCTCCCGGCGTCTGACGCAACACGCCGAGCGTTCGGGATCCTCCTCCAGCACCCTACCTCCGGCTCTCCTGGGTGACGACGGGTATTAAAGTAGGAGGAGCGGCGCGAGGAGAGGGCGGGAGAGGGACGCCTCTCTGTGGTATTCTGGGAAGGGCGCTGGTTTGTCGCTCGCGCAGCCTCCTGGGAGTTGTAGTTGCGATCTCGAGGTAACTGGTGAGTATCCCGCGCGGGCATTGAAGCTTGTTGTCTTCGGGACTTGTCAGTCGGTGGGTGGGCTTCGTTTGACAGTTGTGTGAGTTGCCCCTCGGCCTCGTTTCTACCCTTGCCTTATGTGTTTATGACAAACTTTCCGGGCTTGCGGGCCCGGACGCGAGGGAACTTTCTGCTGAGGATGACGGGCCTGCTTTCTTGGGCGGCTTTTCGAAAGCCCGGGAGCATCTGGCCGCTTCCGCTTCGACCACGAGCTGAGGGTTTTCTTTCCGCCTAGCCGTAAATCTCAAGGGTCTTGCTAATTAGAAGTGAGACTTCACATTTGACGTTTACCGTATTTAAAGGCAGAATTTCCTCACTCCCTTCTCACAAGCACGCACTTCCCATTTTTTGATTTCTAGAGTTTTCTTTGTGGAAAGTAATTTTGAGGTTTTCAGATAATAAATGACGTTAGAAGAGTTGTGAAAGTAAAACAAGGCTATCGGACGATAGCCTGGAATTTTCTTTTAATTGTAAATGGATATCTTATTGAGAAACAAATTAACCATGACTGCCTCTCAAAGATAGGAAAGGTTGGACATCCAGGAACTTTTCGTGTTAGGAATACCTAAGTGCAATGGTTTTGTGTACACAAGGGATTTGGCAATAGGAGGCTATTTTTGTTTTAAGACTAGGGTTGAATTAGCTGAAAGACCAACGGAAGATCTAACAGGTTTTGTCGGTTATCAAGGATAACTTTGTGAGACCTTTGACTTTGTAGCTTCAGTAATATCCTCTCGTTAGCTATTTTAATATAGTCGATTTCCTGATAATTGACAGGAGTAAAATTTGTTATTAAACCTTAGAAATAATACTTTCTTATTACAGGGATGGGACAATAGGAGCGAAATTTCGAGTCTAAGGGAAAACGCTGGCCAGGCGCGGTGGCTCACACCTGTAATCCCAGTGCTTTGGGAGGCTGAGGTGGGCGGATCACTTGAGTTCAGGAGTTTGAGACCATCCTGGCCAACATGGTGAAACCCTGTCTCTACTAAAAATACAAAAACTATCTGGGCGTGGTGGCACGCACCTGTAATCTCAGCTCTTTATATTCTGGTTTCAAATCTAGGCTTGATGACGTTTTACCATATACCAGTCTCATATATTTTGTTTCCTCCATGAAGAATTAATTACGATTCTAAAGGTTAGTAGCATGAAGCTAGGTTATCCCTATCATGGCAATGGATAGTTAAGTAGGCATTGCCAATATTTATCTTGCTTTCTTTTATTTCTTTTTCTGACCATCCACACTCCAACTATATTGATGAGTTCTTTTACTAATATCAATGGTTGTAATATTCTCATAGTCTTATTCTGCAGCTTTGATTTTTAAGGTGCCTTTGCATATCTGTCTAAGATTCCTTCATCTGTTGATTTTTTTTTACCTTTTAAATCTTCAACGGCAGTTGTATTTTTGGAAAAGTGGGAGGGAAGAGGTAGATGGGGGTACTCACTGATACCTTAATGCACTTCACAGCTACTTGAGAATCTGTCAGATCTCATAAAAAGTTCTAACATTCGAGAATAAGGCAGTGATTTCAGAAATGGAATTTCAAAAGTTGTGTAGGCCAGCGTTTTTATCTTATTTCCTGTTGTACAAATGAGAGCCAGGTTAGGCATGTTTCAAGCAGAAATATTCTTACTATTGAATGACATTGAAAATATATTTCAATATCTTTTAATCTGTTTGGTTTATGGGATTAAAAACTTGTTAGGGTAGTTAGTATTTCATAGGCTTCACTATAACATTGAAAAATCTTTTAGTCTAAAAAGCACACAGTACACTACACATTTATAATAGATGAACAGTATTAGAAATTATAATACAAATCAAAACATAGCAAACCCAAATTTTTATTCCTTATTTTCTTGAAGTAGGGAGGCCTCAAGCGATCTTCCTGCTTTGGCCTCCCAAAGTGTTGAGATTTGACATGAGCCAACATGCCAGGCCGAATATTCTTTTTTTATGGCTAAATTGCATTGTGTGTGTGTGTGTGTGTGTGTGTGTGTGTGTATGTGTATGTATATATATATATATTTTTTTTTCTTTATCCATTCATACATTGTTGGTTGATTACATATTTTAGCTATTGTGAATACTAGTGTAATGAACATGGGAGTGCAGATATCTCTTCAATGTATTGATTTCCCCTTTGGGGAACCCCCATACTGTATTCCATAGTGACTGTATTAATTTACATTCCCACCAAAAGTGTACCAGGGTTCCCCTTTCTCCACATCCTCACCATCATCCATTATTCCCTGTCTTTTTAATAAAGCCATTTTAGGCCTCACATAGTGGCTCATGCCTGTAATCCTAGCATTTTGGGAGGCTGAGGTGGGAGGATTAGTTCAGCTGCTCAGGAGTTCAAAATCAGCCTGAGCAACATAGACCTTGCCTCTATAATAATAATTAAAAAAAAATTGTAAAGCCATTTTGACCAGGGTAATATGATATCTCACAGTGGTTTTGATTTGCATATCTATGATGGTTAATGATGTTGAACATTTGTTAAATTTACCTGTTGGCCTTTAGTATGCCTTCTTTTGAGAAATGTCTATTCTTTTTCTCATTTTTAAACCAGATTATCTTATTGAGTTATTTGAGCTCCTTATATATTCTGCTTATTAATCTGTTGTCAGATAGATAGTTTGCACATATTTTCTACTGCTCAGTGGGTTGTCCCTTCACTTTGTTGATTGTTTTACTCTGCTGTGAAAAAACTATTTAGCTTAATATAATCTTGAACTCCCGACCTCCGGTGATCCGCCCCCCTTGGCCTGCAAAGTGCTTGGATTACAGGCATGAGCCACCGCGCCCGGCCGGAGCTTAATATAATCTAATTTGTTACGTTTGCTTCGGTTGTCAGTGCTTTTGAGGTCTTACACAAAAAAGTCTTTGGCCAGGCAAGGTTCCATGCCTCATACCTGTAATCCCAGCACTTTGGGAGGCTGAGGCAGAAGGACTGCTTGATCCCAGGAGTTTGAGGCCAGCCTGGGAAACAGGGAGACCCTATTTCTGCAAAAAGAATTTTAAAAGTTTAAAAATTAAAAAGTTAAAAAGGTAAAAATAAAAAAGTTTTAAAAATTAAAAGTTTAAAAATAAAGTTAAATAAATAAATAAAATTAGCTGGATATGGTAGCACATAATTGTGTTCCCAGCTTCTCAGGAGGCTGACATGGGAGGACCGCTTGAGCCCAGGAGGTCAAGGCTGTAGTAAGCTATGATTGCGCCACTGCATTCAAAATTTGGGTGACAGAGTAAGACCATGTCTCAAAACAAAACAAAAAAACCTTTGACCAGACCAATATCCTGGAGTATTTCCCTAATGTATTTTTCTAGTAGTTTCACAGTTTCAGAACTTAGATTTAAATTTTTAATCCATTTTGATTTGATTTTTGTGTGAAAAATCAAACAGAGATAGGGAAGAAATATCTTTGAGAGATAGTCTTATTCTACTCTGGTTATCCAGTTTTCCCAGCACCATTTATTGAAGAGACTATCCTTTTACCATTATCTGTCCTTGATTCCTTTGTCAAAAATTTGTTGGTTGTAAATGTGTGGATTTATATCTGGGTTCTCTATTCTGTTCCATTGGTCCATGTGTCTGTTTTCATGCCAATATTATGCTCATTTGGTTACTATAGCTTTGTAGTGTATTTTGAAGTCAGATAGTGTGATGCCCCCAGCTTTGCTATTTTCCCCTAGGATTGCTTTGGTTATTCAGGGTCTCATGTGATTCTATATATATTTTAGAATTCTTTTTCTATTTTTGTGAAGAGTGTCATTGGTATTCTGATAGAGATTGCATTGAATCTGTAAGTTGTTTTGGGTAGTATTGTCATTTAACAATATTAATTCTTCCAGTTCCACAACTTTGGAATAGTTGTCTCAGTTGTTATGTCTACTTTTTCATTTTTGCTTTTATTTATTTGAATTTTCTCAGTCTAACAAAAGTTGTGTCAATTTCATCTAGCTTCTGAAAAAAACTTTTGTTGATCTTCTGGAATTTTTTAGTCTCAATTTTATTTACTGCTGCTCTTATCTTTATTATTTATTTTCTTCTACTAATTTTAGATTTGGATTGTTTTTGCTTTTCTAGTTTTTGAGATGCATGGTTAGGTTATTTGAAATCTTTCTACTTTTTTGATGTAGACATTTATTATTGTAAACTTCTCTCTTAGTACTACTTCTTTGGCTATAGCCCATAGATTTTGGTATATTGTATTTCCATTGTCATTTGTTTCAGAAAATTTTTAAATTCCTTTCTTAATTAGAGGCAGGGTCTCAGTTTGTCATCTCGGTTGGAGTGCAGTGGTGCGATCATGACCCACTGCATCCTCAATCTCATTGGCTCAGGGAATGCTTCTGCCACAGCCTCCTGAGTAGCTAGGACTATAGGCGCAAACCTCTAAGCCCAGCTAGCCCAGGTATTGCTATGTTGTCCAGGCTAATCTCAAACTCTTGGCCTCAAACATTCCTTCCACCTTGACCTCTCAAAGTGCTGGGATTACAGGCATGAGCCACCGTGCCCTTCCAGGAACAAGTCATTTGATTTGAACTTGCTTGAAATTAAAGCAAGCAATTAATTAATTTTCTGTATTGTTTCCCAGGTTCCTCTTGTTAATGATTTCTACTTTTATTCTATTGGGGTTACAAAAGATAATGTGATATGATTTCTACTTTTTTGACTTTGTTGAGATTTGTTTTGTGGCCAAGATGTGGTCTGTTCTGGAGAATGTTACATATGCTCGTGAAAGGATTGTTCTGCAGCAATTGGGTGAAATGTTCTTTAAATGTCAATTAGGCCTATTTGGTCTAGTTTAACCCCCTGTTTTTTTGTTTATTTTCTGTCTGTATGATTTTTCCTTTACTGAGAGTAGGGTGTTGAATTCCCTTACTGTTATAATATTGCACTCTATCTCTCCCATTATGTCCATCAATATTTGCTTTATATACTTGTGTATTCTGGTATTGGTGCTTAGATATTGTTAATTGTTATATTCTTTTGCTGAATTGACTTGTTTATCCTAATATTGTGATCTTCTTGGTCACTTTTTGGAGTCTTTGACTTACAGTCGTATTTTATCTGATAAGATAGTTACTCCTGCTCTTTTCTGGTTTCTCCTTGCATGGAATATGTTTTTCTACCCATTGACTCTAGTGTTACATGTGTATCTATAGGTGAAGTGGATTTATTGTGGGCATTGTATGGTTAGGTCCTGTTTCCTTATCCAGTCAGCTACTCTATTTGGAGACTTGAGTTCATTCACATTTAGTGTTGTTATTGTAAGTAAGAACTTATTGTTACCACTTCATTGCATGTTTTCTATTTTCCTCTATTTTCCTTTCTATGTTCTTTTATGGTTAAGTGATTTTCTCTCATAGTATGTTTTCATTTATTGCTGTTTACTTTTAGTGACTCTATTACAGGTTTTTGCGTTGTGGTTACCATGAGGTTTATTAAAAAGTTTTAGAGCTATGACAAGTTATTTTTATTTTTATTTTTATTTTTTGAGACGGCGTTTCATTCTTGTTACCCAGGCTGGAGTGCAATGGCGCGATCTTGGCTCACTGCAACCTCCGCCTCCTGGGTTCAGGCAATTCTCCTGCCTCAGCCTCCTGAGTAGCTAGAATTACAGGCACGAGCCACCATGCCCAGCTAATTTTTTGTATTTTTAGTAGAGACGGGGTTTCACCATTTTGACCAGGATGGTCTCGATCTCTTGACTTTGTGAACCACCCGCCTCGGCCTCCCAAAGTGCTGGGATTACAGGCGTGAGGCACCGCGCCTGGCCAACAAGTTATTTTTAAATAATGACAACTTATCTTAGATAATGAAGAAAAAATAGAAACTAACAAAGAAAGAAACTTAAAAAAAAAAAAAACTCCTGCACTTCAACTCCATCTCTCCCAAAATTTTGACTTTTTATTTTCTCAACTTATATATTTTTATATTGCCTATCTTTCAAC